AGTCAGCACTGCTTGACGGGGGGGGGGGGGCGCCAAAGCAGTCGCACACCGTTGGGCACCGACACACATCCCTTGCGTGGGCAGGGGCCAGAATAAAGCCTTGACAGCTGGCTGCATATCACAGCAGCAGCCCGTATCTATGCAGGACAGGGGGAAAACGCCTCTTACCGGGGCCGCTGCTCGCGAGCCTCGAGTGTGGCGGCAGGGGGTGGCGTCTGCGGGGGTGGATGAGGCGCCCGGCTGCAGGAAAATCCCGGTCATCCTCGCGCTGCCCTGCCTCAGTTGCCAGCAGCACAGTGCCATCGTCACAATACTCGATGAACATGGGGGAGGATCCGCCCGCGGCAGGTCCGTCGCCTGTTGGTGCGCAGACGCTGGAGGTTGACTGCAGGCAGTGTGAGGGACTGGAAGCGGCACGGGTGGCAGGGGCTCACGTGCGGGGCTGGCCGAGTGGTGTGGGTGTTTTGATACGTTGCAAATTGTCCCCCACCCGCACACACGCCTGGCCACGGTGTGGTGTGCACATGACGGTTGCACTGCCACATCCACCCGTCACAACGTCATTTCGGGGTTATATCTGGCTCGTGCTCGGCGCGACGCTCAGGCAGCTTGGGAAGCTGCCCTCTGTGTCAGTCGACCGTTTTCAGGTTTCAGCTGCAGCTGTGTGCCTGACTCAGCAGACGCGCGTGGGTGGGTTGCCACCCCCCAAAAATCAATGGTTACAACAAATGTGGAGGTTGGCCATAGGTTTGTCTTTGCCCCTTTGGGAGGGGCACAGAGGAGGACGGCACGTATTTGTGTCGGGGGTTGTTTTCAGTGTCCAACAGTGATGCTCAGCTAGCCAGCAAGTGATGCTCTGATACATGAGTCATGGTGTAGCAAGGAAACAGAATGATGCGCGCGATAAACAGCAGCAAGAGGCAGCGGCGCATCTTTTTGTCGTAGCAGATCTTGTCAATTGGCAGGGCAAGGGGCTGGCGCCAGCAGGCGCAGTGGGTGTGCCTGCCGCACAGCATGCCCTCCACCCGTCAGGCGTCCCGCACATCCTGCCCAGAGGCCCTGCATCCGGCGCTACCGCCTGAGCTCGGTCGTCTGGCTCACGCCCGCTGTCGCTGTTGCGCGACAGCAGCGCGCCCATGCCTGCAGTATACGACCGTGCGAGTTTTTTGTCCGCCCCTGTGTGATGCATTTCCAGACCAAAAACTGCACCCTCACTGATCCAGACCGGCCCCGCCGTCCACATCGTTGGCGGT